GTAGTCCAACGCGTTATAATGCAACGCGTGGTAATTCTAAGCGTACGAATCTAATGCGTGGTAATCTAACGCGTAGTAATCCAGCATGTGGATATCCAACGCGTAGTAATCCAGCGCGTGGATATTTAATGGGTAGTAGTCTAACGCTTTGTAATATAATGCGTAGTAGTCCAACGCGTGGTAATTCTAAGCGTAGGAATCTAACGCTTGGTAATCTAACGCGTAGTAATTCAGTATGTGGATGTCCAACGCGTAGTAATCCAGCGCGTGGATATTCAATGGGTAGTAGTCCAACGCGTAGTAATTCAACGCATAATAGTCCAATGCGTAGTAATGCAACGCGTGGTAATTCTAAGCGTAGGAATCTAATGCGTGGTAATCTAACGCGTAGTAATCCAGCGTGTGGATATCCAACGCGTAGTAATCCAGCGCGTGGATATTTAATGGGTAGTAGTCTAACGCTTTGTAATATAATGCGTAGTAGTCCAACGCGTGGTAATTCTAAGCGTAGGAATCTAACGCGTGGTAATCTAACGCGTAATTAACCAACGCGTAGTAATCCAACGCCTAATAATCCTCGCGCTCTGACTGGTCTGTGTTTTTTCTTAATAATTCAAAAACGAAGCTTCAAATCCCATTTTTGCAAAGGGAAATCTTATTCGGAATCACGTCAGCTATCCCCCATTTCAGGGACCTACACTAATTGTGAAACATCCTGTATATTCTATCCACTGGTAATTATTTTATTATGAGACTTAGTAGTTTAAACATTTGATTCGAAATTTGAGATGCACCGTACCGAGGAAATTAATTTGGACGAACTATTTCCTTCTGTTTGTTTAATATTACAATAATCTGACGGTGGTCACGTTCATCGCAATATTTGCTCTCAATTTAACTGATAATTATTGCAAAAGTCACGTCGGCCAATTCATACAATTTCTATGCTTAACATATGTTTTGCTCACATTGTATAATAGAAAATTTTGTGTACATTTCATGTATTTATTTCTTCAAATACTAAATATTTCTGCAAATTTTCATTCCTTTTTCACTTTAGTCTGTTTCATACTATTTTAGACTCTTTCAGATTATTTTTGGTTGTTCTACATTATTTTCAATTATTGCAGGTTATTTTATATTGTTTATGGTTGTTTCAGATTATTTTTAATTGTTTCAGGTTTTTTTAGATTATTTAAAATTATTTTACATGATATGTCATTTTAAGTCGTTCTGTCATAAACAGTTTTTTATGAAATTACATTACACATGCAATCAACCGAACTTCTTCTTTAATTAAATAAAACAGAAACTTCATGATTTAACGCAATAAATTTCTTTGTATAGATAACTAGAAAGAAACTCCTCTTATATTTTAAAAATAACATAAAATATCATGTTATATTTCATTTACTCGGACAGCTGTTATCGAACAGACATTTATTTGAAGTACGTTTTATTCCATATAATTAAAGTATCATGATGAAGAATAATTTTCTTAAGAATGTTGACCATGGAAGTCTTTTAAAAGATAAATATATTTTGGATTGAAAATAATCTTATTGCACGTTCAAGATATTTTTGAGCTATCAAGTATTTTTTATTGCAAATATGTTGGATAAATTAATGCATTACTATTATTGAAATTATCGAAAACATTTGTTTTTTCTTGATACTTGATTTTCTTGATTCTTGAAGTGAAAGTTTTAAATAGAATTTTACAAAATTGTTAATTAATTTCCTCCTACCTTTAATAGTTATTTCTTCTTTTATAATGATATTTTAATTTGAAATGCATGGTGAAAACTACATAAAGTGTCATTAATATTTTTATTACAATTTGGGTAAATATATGTATTCAACAGTATTCAATATTAAACAGTATTAATTTTGAACAAATACATTAGAAATTTGTGATATCGTAATATTCAGTGTTTCAAGGATAATTCAAGATCATGTTATTAACAATAAAAAATTCGTTAACTGTATATTCGATGCAAAGATTCATGGTCCACGAAGACACGACGCACGGGTGTATAAGTAGCGGACATTTACCAGACGGTTATAAGTAGTGATCTTACACAGAGTAATGAAAGTGCTCTATTAACTTAAAGACCACAAAACTCTTGAACTATTAAACTACTTAGTTATTATACTAATCTAAGAACTACATTGATGTGGAGTTCTCATTAAAAGAAGACAGCAGGGATTTCGAGTGGCGGGAAAATTCAAATGTATTTTTGCGAAGACTAATTTTCTGATAAAATAAATATATAATATTTAATGCAAAAGTGAAATAAGTTTATCTTAATTTTAAATTAGTATAAGGACGAATTCTTGAATCACTTCGCACTCCTTAATTTCTATTACCTACCAATTTCTTCATTTACAAAATAAGTCAAGAAAGGGGCTCTCAATAAAATGTATTGTGACAATGTGGAGTATAATACATTTTTAATTTATTATAAATACTAAATAAATGAAAATACATATATTCAACCAATCTATTTACCTGAATTATTTATAAGATCCAAGAGAAATGTGATGTCGACACTTAGCAATAAGAGTGCAAAAGATTAAATGTATTTAAAATACATTTATATTGATATTTGTGGAAACAATATTTTATCTAATTTGTTCTATTGTGCAGGTATACAAAGGCCTCGACATAATCACCGCAAAAGTAACAAAAGAAGAACAAAACATGGCGCCGCATCATATGCTGGACATCTTGGACCCGTTGCTTCCTGATTTCACCGTGCACCGATTCAGGAATATGGCCATGCCCATAGTAATTTCTACTCTTTTATCCCGTTGCATTTGCATTCTTTCGCACGTAGCTCACAGGCTATATTTAAACCGTAGCTAATGATGTCGGGAATTCAGAAAAGTTCTCTCTAAATGTCGATGCAATGTTCGCGGAAAGGACAGCTATCGAGCGACAACTTTCCAAATGCGCTATTCTGAAAACTAGAGAAGAAAAATGTGATATCGCATGCCAATATGGTAGTGTAATAATTAACAATTAGAGCATAAAATTGTCGGTAAAATAGATACGTCAGGATTATGCCGGCGATAGTATTTGCGACGTTATTAAATTAGACTTACACGCTTTGACACGCTTCGGGTACGATGGAATTAGCTGATAATCGTTTGATATCGGTTTGCTCGTTGCTAGAAAGGCTTCGTAGATACAATTTCTTTGGACGAAGCTGAATTGATACGATACTGAATGAAGACCGTGATAACGATGACTAGTCACGATCTGTTGTGTCGTTTGGACCCTGTGTATTGCCAAAGAGTAGGTACAATAAGGGACACTGATGTTCGGGGAAGCCATATTGGTTGTATAGAGCGGGAAATTCAAATCGAATGAATTTCACCCTCGTAATTAGAAATTTGTTTATTGTCAATGTTTTACACATTGCTAACATTGACTTTTGAAGTGTTTTCATGAATTTTACAGCATTGAAAAGTTGAAAAAGAAAGGCATACTAAAATGATAACTCTACTAAATATATTTGAAGAATATACAAATAGTTTACAAAGTAAACTCTGTACAAAGAGTTACGAATAGCTTATAAAGAAATTAACTATTTATTAGAAGAAAATACAAATGAATGTGTTATAGAGAAGTGACAAATTTCTATATAATAATAAAGGCAAGAAGTTGTCTGACTGCGGTGAACGTGGTGAGATCCCTTTCTGGACTTTTGTTTACCTTTTGTTTTAGTAGATTCTTCTGCTTCACCATTACAACAATAACAATATTAACAAACGACTACATAATAATACTTACACCACTTCACACATTTTTATAATATTCCTTCAAATCCAATATTATTATTTAATAATTATTATCATCACCTCCATCGCTCGCTACCTATCATAAACCTAATCGTTTAAGTCGTCGACTGAAGTCAACGACTAATTGGCCTACGAGTTATTTTTTAAGTGACAAAATATTTATTTGTTTACTTTATTATTAAAATATTTTTTGCAAATTATAAGTAAATAACAAAGTATTTATTATAAATAAGTTACAAGTAAACAACAGTATTATTTTATTTCTCTTAAACTACAAAAAGTAGTTTCATTGACAGTGTCGACTCTTGTTATATCTACTCTTTGGTATTGCGTGGTGATTATCGATGCTTGATTGATAGTTTATTGGTATTTAGTGATAATTCGATACGACATCGTTAATTCGAATAGAAAGGAGTCGCTGGATTTGACTGAAATGGGGTGTCATGTTAAATTTATTATTATACTTTTGTATGATGTCAAGAGTATAAATATTATACACATGTAGTGTGTTTGTAAATTTCTGTATTTAGAAAATCAAGGATTTAGTGAAATTTTTGAATTTGAAACTTAGAAATTTGTAAATTGTAGATTTGGAATTTTAGACTGAGTTTTTTGAAATTTAGAAATTTGTTTTTCAAATTTAGAATTTAAGTGTTTAGAAATTTGAGATTTGAAAGCTTAAAATTTCAGTTTTTTGAAATTTAGAAATTTAAGTTTTGAAAATTTAGAATTTGAATGTTTAAAAATTTAGAAATTTAATATTTGAAAATTTAGAATTTCAGTTTTTTGAAATTTAGAAATTTAAGTATTAAAAATTTAGAATTTTAATGTTTAAAAAAGTAGAAACTTAAATTTTGAAAATTTAGAATTTGATTGTTTAGAAATTTAGAAATTAAAAATTTGAAAATTTAGAATTTTTGAGAATTTGTAAAGGATTTTAACAATTTCAAATTCAGAAGATTTAAAATTGTTGAATTTGAGAATTTGAGTATTTAAAAATTTGAAAGTTCTCAGAATTTTTAAATTTTGGGATTTCCTATTTAAGTACTTAAAAATTAGAAGTAAAAAAAAATATTTTTCTGTTTCAAATTTTTGAAAATTACAACACATTACAAATTTACAAATCGGTGACTATTTCAATTCTCTATTTTTATTCTCTTTAACGATAACGTATTCATGTTATTATTAATAATACGGAATTACCCATCAAATTCTGATAATGTCGATACTTATCGATAAGTAGCTTAAAGTACAGTGCTCGCTCGATAAATAACCAGACTTGTATATCATTTTTATATATTACTTCAATTTTATCTGTATCACATGACTACTTTACATGTAACATCAATTAAGTATTAATACTTAATATAACTGATTATAATACAGAATACTTACATACTAACAAATATTTTATTTAAACAACATCATATATACTCATATTTTTAGTTACAACAAAATATAAATGTCCACAAAACTTTTTAATTAAACAACATCATACTCGAGTTATCTGTTTTAAAAATTATGAAAGTCTACCGAATATTTTAATTAAATAATCTATATATTCGAAGTTAGCATTATAAAATAATATAAAAGTTAAACAATATTGAATTAACATAAATGTTACTACCACATGTATTCTGTTTGTTAATCCACATTGTGTTATTACTGATTAGAGTGAGAAAAGTGCGTTCCCATCGATTATTCATATAGCGGTTACTTATTGAACGGTTATTTATCGAGCGGTCATTTATGTAACGATTATTCATGAGGTAAGTACTTACTGAACCGCTAATCATTAACCGGGTATTCTATTTCACGACTTTTCAATATCCAGGTGCTTTATCAAACAATTATTAATGAAGCAGATACTTTATTGAACGGTTATTCATTAAGCTACTATTTTATTCAACAGCTATTCATCAAGTGAACACTTCATTCATTTCATCATTAATGAACACTGCATTTTTAGCATGCAAAAGAATCTTTTTTCTTTAATCGTGAATTGTATATTTTATTGAACAGCTTTTATTAATAGAGCACTTTATTGAACGTCTGTTTATCGAGCGGCTGCTTATCGAACGTCTATTTATCAAGCTTCGGTCTCCCTCGAATGCTCCTTCTTCTTTGGCCGATTTAGATAGATGACCTTCTCGCCAAGGAAAAACTACCGATCATCGTCGGCGGCACCAACTATTACATAGAATCTATTCTGTGGAAAGTATTGATCGGTGATTCAGATCAAACTGAAACGTCCGATATAAGAAATGAGAGATTAGATGGTCCAGCCGAAGAAGAAACCGGAGTCTCACCCGCGAAAAAGAAGAAAACCGAGTTAGATCGATTTACTACGGAGAGCAACGAAGAACTTCATGAGAAACTGAAGAAGGTCGATCCTGAAATGGCGAACAGGGTTCATCCTAATAACAGAAGAAAGTTGATTCGGTAAGTACCGCACGTTTATTGAAATACACGTTTCAATTTGTTTTATGCGTTGTTTTGTTATGTTTCTTGTATTTTTAACACTTAAACTTTTCAAATCGGTGAGATGACTGGTTAGTTTAGGTTTCTCCATAAGTTTCTTTTACTAAATCAACATTAACGAATTATTTATATATTAAATAAACAAAATGCTGCGTTGCTATATCATTTTTGCCAAATCAGCAGATTCTGTTAGTTTACAGAAATTCAAAGCTCAATAAATGTGAATAATCATTTCTTTTTATTGAATGCTTAAGATCACATGCACCTTATTAGGTTATTAGTGGCTATATTTGATTTGTCTGTATGATAATTATTTTAGTAAATATTAAAAATATTTAATAGACAACGTTCATGTAGAAGTTTGTATGTTTATTTCTAAATCATGACAGTTTATTAAAATTTTTTTGAGTGTTGTTTTTTTGTAACAGTTACCTCAGCTGTCGTATACAAGTAAATGAAAAAATTAAGAAATCTGTTGTACCGTTATCAGGTACTCTGTACGATAAGGTATCATAAATTGTCTTACACCGACGATGTAATCTCTTCAAGAGGGAGATTTTGTAACTTTGTCTTGTCCACGTGTAATATCTATAGCTTACTGTTTGATAAATCAACATCTGAAATGTCAGATTATTGAAAATTCGAAATCTCCCATTTCCTACAAAAAACCCACCACTTTTTTTTAAAAAATGTTACCTCATAAAAATCACTTTGCATAACTTCTTTTATGAATGAATATACTGGCATTCATACAAAATTTTACAAATCTGCAGTGGAATAAATATTTGCACTTCAAGGGGATCTGCAAGAAAGTTTCCTAATCAAATAGAAAGTTGACACAAAGAAAGGGAGACTGCACCTGGAGCTTTCTTGACCTAACTCAAAAATTCTATAGCAAGGTCTTTTCAAGTATAAAAACGAAACATTTTCATGGAGCGCACTCACAGAAAAGGTTTGACACCGGCAGCTGCCGTCGGTGCCATATTGTGAAAGCGCGGCAGTTGTCCGAAAATGTACCTGCCTGCCCTAATTGGCCATTGTCGATCATTTCGTGCGATCGGAACAATCTCATTGCAGATAAAAATCGAAGACAGAGGTTCAACGATCACTGTAACTTCAGATTTCTTCGTTTTGATTTTATACTTTGTCTGCATTTGATTATTTGGAATTTTTCAATTTGATAAGTTTCACATTTCTACATTATTGAATTTCAAAATTTAAAATTGTATATTTGTATATTTTTCAAATATTTTGTTCTTTGTTCTAATTTTATAATTTTATTTGACCACGTATTTGATTATTTTTTAATTTCTGAATTTGACAACTTTCACATTTCTAAATTATGAAATTTGACAATTGTTAATTGTAAATTTCTGTATTTTTAATTTTCAGATTTATCAAAATATAAGATTTTCCATTTTGATTTTATAATTCTGTTTGTTTACATTTGATCATTTTATATTTTTTAATTTCTAAATTTAACAACTTTGCAATATCTAAATTGTGAAGTTTGAAAATTTTTAATTTTGTATTTCTGTATTTTTAAATTTCAGAGTTATCAAAATACGATTTCGTTTCTATTTGTCTACATTCAATAATTTCTCAATTTTTAATAACCATTCAAATATATAGTTAAATATATTATTTAAAACTTGACAACTTTCACATTTCTAAATTATGAAATTTGACAATTGTTAATTGTAAATTTCTGTATTTTTAATTTTCAGATTTATCAAAATATAAGATTTTCCATTTTGATTTTATAATTCTGTTTGTTTACATTTGATCATTTTATATTTTTTAATTTCTAAATTTAACAACTTTGCAATATCTAAATTGTGAAGTTTGAAAATTTTTAATTTTGTATTTCTGTATTTTTAAATTTCAGAGTTATCAAAATACGATTTCGTTTCTATTTGTCTACATTCAATAATTTCTCAATTTTTAATAACCATTCAAATATATAGTTAAATATATTATTTATAAAAATAATTTAAAATATTAAAAAAATTTATTTATAAAAATTTTGACAACTTTCACATTTCTAAATTATGAAATTTAACAATTGTTAATTGTAAATTTCTGTATTTTTAATTTTCAGATTTATCAAAATATAAGATTTTCCATTTTGATTTTATAATTCTGTTTGTTTACATTTGATCATTTTATATTTTTTAATTTCTAAATTTAACAACTTTGCAATATCTAAATTGTGAAGTTTGAAAATTTTTAATTTTGTATTTCTGTATTTTTAAATTTCAGAGTTATCAAAATACGATTTCGTTTCTATTTGTCTACATTCAATAATTTCTCAATTTTTAATAACCATTCAAATATATAGTTAAATATATTATTTATAAAAATAATTTAAAATATTAAAAAAATTTATTTATAAAAATTGTCCAGAATGCATAAAATCATATTTATAAAAATACTCCAATATATGTAAAAATACCGATTTATAAGCGTTATAACATTTTATTTCTGCGTATAGAATATATAAAGTTTGAAACACCCTGTAGACATTTCCTGAGCAACAGCAATTTATAATTTCACGTGCAATGTTTTGCTATACCAACTGCGATAAAGATATTCAAGGTGCTAATGATAAATGGAACATATTCTACATATATAGGTCAGGAAGTGCGAGCGTGTAATGGCGGTCTCATCATTCTTCACTGACTTAAACAATTTAATTCATTAAAGGGACACGCTTTTCGAAACGTAGGATACGGAAACGAGAATATTTTAGATACGATCTTCCCCATCACGCTTTTTCAAATTTATAACCTGAGAAAGAAATTGTGGTAGCTGACAGCTGGCAGTCGTAAATACGTTTTAGCCTTTTCGCGATATCACAGAGGAGAGCTGAAGAGCAGGTGAAGTTACTCTCGCTTTTTGTGCTCTGTCTGTTAAAGTTTCGTTTACGTGTTTATGCAATTCGCTGTGCGATCCAATTTGTACGGGTTAATTATTATGGTAACTGAGCACGGTATGGAACACCCGATTTTATGGGGTTATGGAATTTATTGGTTTGAAATTTGGGAATTTGTGGATTTGGAAATTTCAGGGATGGAGTGAGAAAATTAATGAGTTAAGGATTTTGGAAATAAAAGCTTTATCATGCAATTGAAATTTGTTAATATACACTATTAAGAGACAAAAATAATACACTATAAAATATAAAATAAAAGCAATAATACCTTTTCGTGTACAACGGTTACGCAGCGTGCATGAGAGCGAGAAACGACAAAACGGAAGTGTGTGTAAAACATAAACAATCGCTAGGGGGAGTAAACCTCACTTTAGGAAATTAGGAAATTTGGGAAGTTTGGGAACCTTGAGCAATTTGGGAAATTTGGCAATTTAGGAAATTATAAATTTGGGAAATTTGGGATATTTAGGAAATTTCAGAAATTTGGGAAACTTGGGAAATTTGGAAAATTGAGGAATTAGAAATTTGGGAATTTAGGAATTTGAAAATTTGGAAATTTAGAAAATTAGATATTTGGGAAACTTCAGAAATTTGGCAATTTAGGAAATTAGAAATTTGGGAAACTTGGGTAATTTGGAAAATTGGGCAATTAGAAATTTGGGAATTCAGGAATTTGAAAATTTGTTAAATTAGGAAATTAGAAATTTGGAAATTAGGGAATTTTGGGAAACTTGGGAAATTTTGCAATTTAGGAAATTAGAAATTACGGAATTTGGAAATTTGCAAATTTGGAAAATTGGGAAATTGGGAAATTTGGGAAATTTGCGAAAGTGGGAGATTAGAAATTTGGGAAATTTGGGAAACTGGGAGGTTTGGAAAATTTGGGAATTTGAGAATTTGGAAATTTGGAAAATTGGGGGATTAGAAATTTGGGAATTTAGGAATTTAGAAATTTAAGAATTTGAAAATTTAGGAATTTGGAAATTTAGGAAATTGGAAATTTGGAAACTTTGGGGAAAATGTGAAATTTGGGAAACTGGGAGATTTGGAAAATTGAGAAATTTAGAAATTTGGGAATTAGGAATTTGGGGAATTTGAGGAATTTGGGGTACTTGGAATTTTGGGTATTTGGAATGTTGAATTTCGGAAATGCGAAATATTTGGAATTAGGAATTTTGTGTTTCGAAGATTTTATAATGTTGGTTTTAGCGATTTTGAGGTTATGGAGTTTTGAATTTAGTGTCTTTGTGATTTTGGGTTTTGGCATTCTGATATTTAGGGTTATGATTTTGAATTTCAGGGTTTAAAAATTGTTAAATTTGATAATTTGGAAATTTAAAAATGTGAAGATTGGTGAATTTGAAAACATGTACATATTAGAATTTAAAAATTTGACAAAGTGGTAAATTTGGTAATCTCGAAGTTCGAATTTCTATTTAAAAGTTAGAAAATTTGAAAATTGACAAGTTTATATTTAACCTCCCCAAATAAAAATTAACATTGCATCCCAAATATACGTTGCAATTTTTCAACGAATAATATTAAAAAATTGTTGTGTTCTTCCATAAAAGCTACAACAAGAAATTCAAATTTTTTATAATCATCTCGTTTCACACGCTTTACCATGCTTTACCGTACCGTAAATTGTTTTAATTAACTGTGGTTACAAGCCGGGAAAGCGAGTTGCCGACGCTTTGTGGTTGAGGCGAAATTTTCTTCTTATGCAAAAAGGTATCCTTCATAAAATGAACTTTCGAATTTGGTTAGCGTGGGTTGCGGTTTTTTGTTACCGTTTGCACGTTAAATAATAACCGCGACATGCGAACTGTAAAGTCAGGAAAGAAAGAGGAAAAGCGAAGGAGACTTTGTATAATTCTCAGTTTATACGCTCATGAAAATACAAACTGAAGTAAATGAATGTAAATTTACCCAAATAAATTCATTTCATTTACGTAGTAATTTGCTAGCTTGATGGTTAATTTTTGCATGAAGATTACACAAATCTTTATATATTTTTTGGAATTGA